CACACGCCCTCAACCTCACACACACGCCCTCAACCTCACACACACACACACACGCACCTCACACACACGCCCTCAACCTCACACACGCACCTCACACACACGCCCTCAACCTCACACACACACACGTACCTCACACACACGCCCTCAACCTCACACACGCACCTCACACACACGCCCTCAACCTCACACACACACACACGCACCTCACACACACGCCCTCAACCTCACACACACACACGCACCTCACACACACGCCCTCAACCTCACACACGCACCTCACACACGCACCTGCACACACGCACCCTCACACACGCCCTCACCCAGCGGCTCCTGCCGAGCCCCGATTAGCAGCAGCTCCGTGCCGGGTACGTCCAGCAGGCTCACGTCCTCGGCTCCGACCCAGCTGGTTCCACCGGAGAAGGCGGACCGCTGGGAAGGACTGTACGGCGGAGTACGACCCGCGGTGGGGCGTCCCGGCTCACGGCGCCCAGGGTTCTTAAGGGGGGGGATTTGGAAGGGGGGGAAAGAGAGAGGAGGGCGGGTGGGATGGAATCGGTTAGTGCTAACCTGCACTAACGGTCCAGGGGGGGGCGCCCCCCCCCACACACACACTTGTGCGGACACTGTAACTGTAACTGTAACTGTAAGCTAACGTCAGGGAGGGCCAACTTTCGACATCCCGGGAGCATTACCCTGGGGGGGAACACAAGGGGGGAAAGGGGGAGTCCAGTCCCCCCCAGAACCCTACGTTGGACACAGAACGGCGTTGGGGACTACTGCTTGGATACTACTGGGCAGGTGATGGGATGATGGCGGGATAGTGCGCTGACGCGATGGTGGTGTTGGGATGTGGGTCGCCCCGTAGGAGCGGGGGAGGGGGAATGCCACCAAGAGGGAGGTACAGCAGGGGGAATTGACGCCGCGGCGCGGCGGCGGCGGCGGCGGCGGGGCAAAGCGCCGTACCCTGCCGTACCCCACCTTGATGCTCAGGACATAGCGGGCACTCCGGGCGATGTGAAGCTCCTGTTGTACCGGGCCCAGGCCCTCCGAGCCCGCGACACCCTCGACCCGGGGTGCGGGTGCGGGTGCGGGTGCGGGTGCGGGTGCGGGTGCGGGTGCGGGTGCGGGTGCGGGTAGCTGCAGCACGTAGGCGAGCTGCGTGCTGGGCCGCTTACGACTGTGGAGCCTGTGTGAAGCGGCGACATGGGGGGCGTGGGGGAGTGAGGGATATGGAAGGTGTGTATGTCTGTGTGCGTGTAAGGAGGAGGAGGAGGCGGAGTTGAAGAGGTTGCGGCTGCTGTACAGAGCAGAACAGGTCAGGTCAGGAACGAGGCGAAAGAGTTACATCGCACATGCATACATACATGCACACATACATATAAGCATATGCATCACAGGACTGCTACTTGCTCCCGTAATAGTTACTCTTCTGCCATCCTTGCCACTTCTCGGCCTGAGGCGCAAATCAATAAGACGCATCATTATACACGCAAAAAAGAATACATACATAAATACATACATACAACGCAACGTTACTCTTTTCCCGGCACCTCCGCACTCTTCCCCACCTCCCCCCACCCACCCACCCACCCACCTCCCCCCACCCACCCATCCACACACACACACACACACGCACCTGAGCATGATGCAGTAGGTTCCCCGACCCGCCACTCGCGCCGCGGGCTGTGTCCGCTCCCCCCGGGTCTTCGTGCAGTAGTGCCTGGCAGCCAGGCCCGCAGTCAGCTGACCCACACTGTCCGCCACAGCGTCTGAGTCGGAGTGAGTGCATGAGGTGGGGGAAGAAAGGAAAAGAAGTGGAAATGGCAAAGGAGCGAGCGGGGGTTCTAGGAGACGGGAAGGACGACGAAAACGGTAAAAAGATCGAGTGGAAAGGGCGAGGAAAGAATGCAGGGAGGGGAGAAGGGTTTGGAGGGAAACCCACGCGTTACAAGTGTTAAAAGATATGGTTTTATGCAAATATAACCTGAACACATGAACAGGACGCAGAAGCAATTGATCATCAAGGCTAGCAGGGCAGAGACGCTTGGCATGAGGCATGAGGCCTTCTGACCATCATGTACATTAACACAAACACGACTTCCCCAGGTCGGTAAAAAAGCGCAAACAAACAAAACTTGCCGCTCTTACCCACAAAGCCAAAGAAGCGCTCATGGCGATGCGGGTCCGGCAACCGCTTCTTCCCGATGATAATTAATCGACATGGAAGCCCCGACGACGGTGGCGGCGACGGTGGCGGCGGGGCTTCACGGGGGGCCCCCCTTGCTTCCTGCCCGCTGGGGCCTCCTCCCTTGGCAGCGGTCTCCTCCGGGGCAGTGGAGGAGGAGGAGGAGGGCTCCTCCTCGCCCTGCGTACCATCAATGGATGCGGCCCCAGCTTGGATCATACCCCGCGAACCTCCTTCTCCTCCTTGTCGCTGCTGCTGCTGCTGCTGCTGCTCGGATGCCTCGTGTACAGATGTAGCGGTGACGGTGGCTGTAGCAGTAGCTGTGCGGTCGACAGGGGCAGCGGCAGTAGCTGGGTTTTCCTCGTCGTCGTCCTCCTCCTCCCGTCCCTGCCCCTCCTCATCTTTTCCCCCTTCCTCCCCCTCGCCAAGGCCCGGTTTTCCCTTCTCTTTTGCCTCCTCCTGCTGCTGCTGTTGCTGAACCTCCGCGCGTGAGGGTGGGCCCCGACGTGCATGTGGCTGCAGGATGATGTAGAACCTGGCCACGTCATCTAAATCCGCGGGGTTCTCCTGCTGGACCTGACAAGCCCAGTGGGTGTGGGAGAGGAGGGGGGAGGGAGTCTTATGCCAAATGCACAAACTCATGAGGAAGTGGAGGCAGAGGAGGTGGCGGATTAAAGTGAAGGACACAACACGGTAGTTGTGTCCCTGGGCGGTGGTGGTGACGCTATGGGGAATTTGTAAAGAAATACGCCGGACGCGCAACTGACTTCAGCGGCTGTGCTGATGGCCACGAGCTCAGGTGTCCGACCCGAACTTTCCCCCCCGGGTATGAAAGGTAGGTGGTATGTCAAAGGGCAAGCTAAGACCCCACAACGCCGAATAGAGACCAGCCGTACACGTACCAGATCGCTACGTCTCTTCGTGCGAATGGTGCTATTGAAAACAAAAAGTGGCTCAGCAGCTTTGCCGTGCGTCGTCGTTGTCGTCGTCGTCGTCGTCGTCGTCGTCACGGCGTTTCGGACCTCCCGAACAAAAAACGAAAAGAAAACAGACACGCAGACAAACGAAATGACACAGGCAAACATACGGACATACAAGGGAAACCACCCACCTCGCCGTAAAGCCCCGTGAGGAACCAATTTCACCATCATAGAGCTTGCACTGCACATGGGCTTGGAAAGGCCACGCTGCTGCTCACGCGCCCATGCAACATCTCTCAATCCCAATCGCCAGGTAACTAACACGCACGGCCTTTCATCCCGCCCTACTTTAGGTCGGTAGAAGAAGTAGATGTGCCCTTCCTCGAGGGCTCCCGGAGGCAGCGGCGGCCGGTTGGCTCCGGGACCCTGAGCGACACCAGCACCAGCAGCGGCGGCGGCAGCTTCTACCTCCGACGCAGGCACCGCCGCCGTCGTGGTCGCCGTAGTCGCCAACCCCGGGCCCGACGCCTCCGACTCTTCTTCTTCCAGGTCCCACTCGGATTCCGATTGAGGGCCTTCGGAGTCGGTTTGGTCTTTGCCGGAGTCTTCTCTACCCGAGTCAGCTTCTTGGTTCTTGGGCTTCTCGTCGGCAGCGGCGGCCTTCTCGGCCTTCCCTCCTGGCTCTGGGGCCTTTCCTGGCTCGTCTTCGGCTGACGTCGGGCTTCGACGAGCAGCACGCTTGTGCTTTGACGGGATGTGCTTCGGCCGAGTGCCTTGCATCGCGTCTTTCCTTGCGTGGGTTGCGGTAATGGGCGGTAGAGGGAAGGAAAAGATGTGAGAGAGCGGTGCGCGTGTGGACGAGGCTCAGCAGCGCGCTTGACCTGTCACCTTCTTAAAGGGCCGACTGGGCGCCTGTCTGTTTATTTTTTGCGGCACGCTGGACGCGTCTCTCGTCCTAAGTATCTTTCATTAAAAGTTTAGTGAAGTTTAGTAATTACATGCCATGCCATGCCTGTAGATTTATCGGCTTGGGTCAATGGGGAATAATTGGCAGAAGAGTACCGACCCCGCGCCGCAAGGTAGTACCGACCCCTGGGTCAGCCTCAATCGATTCCCCGCTGTCGTCCCACTTTTCGTTGCGTGGCTTTCCTCCTCCTCATAATTATATGAATGCTGCCTTTTATACCTTTCTTTTCCCCATCGACCCACCCACCCACAGGCCTCCTCGATCTCCACTTCTGCAAAAAGCTGCATGGGAAAGGGCGCGGCGCCATCGGAGACAGCGTTGCGGCGTTTAAAGGAGGAGATAAAGAATGGGCAGGGGAGAGAAAGAAGGGGGGAGAGGCTCAATGCCAGTTTCTTTCCACTCCAAAGGCGCTGAACTTCCAACGCTGTCAAGAGGGCGAGAGGGCTCGAGAAGCTGCACTCTGCAATAGCAACACCAGCAACACCCAAATCGGGAAATAACCTTACCATGCAACCGGAAACCCTGATAACAACCACCACATCAACACCATTAACAATACAGGAAACAATGGAACAGCCTAAATGACAATTAAGCTGTAGCAAATGGCAGCAACACGCGAGGAGCGCGAGCACCTTGGATTCTTAATCAGGGAACGTTCCTTCCCAGCTCTCCCCTTTCCCCCCTCACATCGCCACCCCCGTCCCCCCCCCCAAAATACACGCACACACACACACACAAATCATCTTCGACTGTTTCCCCCCTCTCTACAAATAACCCTCCGAGTAACACTTCTTCACGCACACACACACGGACAGACAGACAGACAATATACACATTACATCATTATCAGCATCTCAGCAGCACCAGCATCTTCATCCTTCATCTCGTCTCCTCATCTTCTTCATGACCTTCAGCCTCATCGTCATCATCACGCCGCCTGCTGCGCCCGCTGCAACGCGGCAGTGATGGCCGGGGCACCCGCCACACACGCCGCCCACTGAGCCTGATTCAAGTTGAGGCCTTTAGCACTGGGAGCCAGATCGCCACCGCCCTTGTCGTAATATTCCCGTACACCGACGTACGTCACACCCTTGAACTCGCTCAGCGATACCCGGCGCCTGTACACCCGGACAGAACAGAACGGGACAGCGACGGGGAGAGGTTCAAGACCTGGCTGAGGACGAGACACGCTGAAGGTTCGGGCTTTCGGGCTCCATGGTGGCTCAGGTTGGGCGATATGAGAAATTATCAGGAAGTATTTCTAGGTGCTCTCCAAGTACATACATACATATATACGTACGCACGCTGTTAAAACACATGCACGTGATGCGTGATTGCCTACCGTTCCAAAATTCCCCTAACCCCTCTACTGCCCCACTTTCCAAACGCCCCTCCGCCTTTCCTGTCGTCTCCCCACCCGGCATGTCGCCATTTTGCCTGTCATTGTACTGCAGCGGTCTGACAGCTGTCGTACACTCACATTCCACTCAGCTTGAGACAGTACGCTAGATCTCTCCGCCTGAGTGCCTCGTCCACAGCCCCCATATGCTGTTGCAGAGTGCCCCAGTCGGCCGGCGACAGAGCGATGCCCTTCTTGCCTGCGGGTGATAGCGCGCGCGTGCGTGTGTGCGTGTATGAGTGTGTGTGTGTGTGCGCGTGTGTGCGTGTGTGTGCGTGTGTGTGTGTGAGAGAGGGAGACACGACGTGGGATCATACGCATGTCACGACCTTAATTATACATTATATACTTGCATACATATGCATGTACACATGTACCAATCTTCGTTATCATCATTACTGTCATCAACCCATGACATCATCCATTTACCCATTTCACGTTAGTACCAGCAGCTATTACCAGCAGCACTACTGCCACTCACCGGGAAGCAACTCGCCGTTTTTCTGTCCAGTTCGTACGACATGAGTCGAGCCCGGTAGCGGTGGTGATGGTCGTGATCGTGGGAGTGGTGAGGTGGTTGTGGGAGGTGGGAGACCAGTGTGGAGGCGGGTGAGGGAGGAGAGCGAGGAGGACAGCAACAGCACGCGGCGGCTCTCATCAGTCTAAGCCGGGTAACGGGGAAAGATAACGCGAGCAAACACAGCACTACAGCCCCCAGCTATAGCCTGCGCCAGAAGCTTCATTCAGACCTCACGCAAGGCGGCAAAACTGCCACCAGGCCCACACACATTACCCCTCTCCCCCCCTCCCCCAACCCACACTCCGCCCCTAAGAAGAAGATACCGCTCTCCACCCACCCATCCACCCCGCACACAGCGGCCCCCCCCCCCCCCCCAC